GGCCGCGCCCGTGTACACAAACCCTTACACACCCCGCAATAAAACTACCGCAACGTCAACTACCCACTAAATACATACAGAAAACATGCGCCTGACGTAAAACTTAGAGCAAGTGAATCGTGAAAAGTGTTGCTATTTTTTTTTGCAAGGCGTTAGGTATTCTAACCCATGTGGCTGAAAGGCATAAGGTTTGATACTGCTTGGCATAAGCCTGGGTAGTCAGTGTATAAAAGTCTTTGTGCGTCGGAATGACACGGTAAGTCCGAGGATTTGTAATTTACCTTCGTAATTGCTTCAATTTACCTGTCATATTTTTTGTCAGTGTGCTCTTTTCTATCTCTAGCTACGTAACTTGGTATCTTCTCTTCCAACGTCTTTTAAATAACGTTCCTTTGGTTTGTTTATAACTTTTGTTTGCTATTTTTGAAAAACTATGACTCACATTTACTTACTTTATAACACACAATTTATTTTCTTCTTTAGAAAATAGTTTACAAATAACATAATTAAACTACCATAACAACCACTTCTATCTACGAGTAGCACTATGCAAAATGAAATCAAATTATACTAGGTAATTATTAGGTTTTAGCAGGTAGTACCAATTGTGAATACCTAGATGCTTTACATGGTAGGTACGTAACAAGAGGTGCTGCTGTAAGTATCTACCATTTATTAAAGAAAAACACATTCGATTCGATAGTTAGTAATTAGTTACAGTAACATAATTATACCTAGTCTTTACCTTAATCATTTGAAAAAAATGTTGTCTGTCAGGGCTTTACTGACATAGCTCAGTATATTGATTAATTCAAAATTTAATATAAGTGTTTGCCCATTTATTGCTCCATGATTATAATTGATATTTGATATATCAAACAGTCACCTGCAGTCGGTATCAAGCCAAAAGCGTACACTGCTGAACATATGCCTCCCAGACTAGGGGCCTAGGGCCTAGGTATTGGGGATATGCATTTGCAACACTCACTACGCTCGAGAGGCAGATTAGCTAGTGCAGATCAAGGTGCTGTATCGACAAGAAACGCTCTACCCATTTCCTTGATTCATGAGTACGAATCGGGTGATGCTATTCTGAGCCGGCTACACACGGTGCGAATACTAATCGAAAATTAAAGTTAACTTTAGCTGTCACGAGCAATCGGCCCGGCGTCCATTCCGCGAACATTTTAATTATAATTTTCTTTTTCAATCTTCTTCTTATTGGCAAATTGATTCTATCGCTTTTGATACAATTGAACCAATATCTAGCCACACGTTCTGCATTATCCGTTGCGTTGTACCAACCTAACAGTCCTCGTGTACCCAAGCAGTAGGACATGCGCGGGGTAAGACAAGATGTGCATAGATTGGACTGATATGGGTAAATTTGGCTCCAGCCATATGGCGCTAAAGTGCGCTGGCTTTTAAGGTTCTAAACGAGGACAACCGCAAGCTGTTAACGTCACCCGACACTACGTCAATGGCGTAGCATGATTGCACGAGCTTTACATGCACCCATTTTGTGAGTAATGTCTGGTAGTAACGAAAAAGCACCAAATACACTCAACATTGAATTTTCAATACTTACAAACTTCATTCTTGTCTTTAGTATAGATAAAGGTGTGATTTGTCTACTCTAAAGTCTTTAAGGCACAGCGATTTTATTTCGCATTATTTTTTTCTCGCTTTTTGTAACACACTGAATTTTATGCAAGTTTCCGCACTGACGGAAAAATCCTCCTCCTCCTCGCGTCGTATTCCTCAATGCTGAGGGTCGTGGTTTCCTAGCAGCCGTGGCATCAGCTTTTGGCGGAAAAATATCGCTTGTCTTTTAAACAAAATAAACATCATGTGAGAAATTGATCGCGGTACGCGAATGAACTTCGCTGTGCGGACGGACAGATATAGGTAGTCTATCAGCCCAGTAAGAGTTTAGGACGAAACTTGTACTTTTTAAATCAATTTCTAAAAAGGAGATAGCAGATTATCAATTCGCTTCGCAGCCACAGAAAAGATGATAGTAGTGTCGTAGCTCTCACGCCAGACTCAGGCCCAGACAGTCTGTCTGCAGCCGTGATGTGTTCAATAGTCCCAGCTTCCCGCCCTCTATTTTATCTAGCCTAGATTACAAGTAGTCTCAGTCAGATAAGTCTATAGAAACACGCCATCAATACTGGCTGGCTTTATGATGTAAATGTTTATAGTAGTGATGTTACATCGCTTTTACATTTATCTATTGTATGCAATCACAATACAGTCTTTGTCTTTGTCTTTAATAATAATACTTGTACTTATCCCTATTATCGGTCACAGCTGCACGGTCATTCTCAAATAGGATCGTTCTGATAGTAGCGCGACCCTAGTAGCAAATAAAATGCCTTTCCTCCACTTAGTAGTTGCTAATAAAACTGTTACTGACCGGCCTATGACCGGAGCAAATCGGTCCTAAGAGCATTTAGTCACGCAAAATCGTAAAAGAAATAGTTACCTACTAAAGTACTAGGTATTTTAAGAAAACTTCTGGGTATTGTTAGGTGCCTACAAGAGTTACTGCTTGTACAACACTTACAAAGAATTATTTGCCATGTGCGACTAACGTGCGACATTCATTTTGTGTAAATCAGAAACCCTACCCTCCAGTAAGCAAAAAGCGTTATAAGTGATTTAATTTGAATAATAAAAGCATTATACTTTTTCGTAAGCTTATTTCTTAGTATTGTATTAGGTTTTTTAACCAAATCACGTGCAGCTGTAATATTCTTGCTGAATAAACAAAATGTATTCATGCCTCCAGTCAGAACAGAGACTCATAACAAAGAATACAAATTAACGTAGTAGCCACTTAAAAAAAATTAGGCATGATTAGATTTGTCTAGTTGATAACAAACCAAATTCAAATAGGTATGGAGTAGAAAAAAACATGTTAAGAGATTTGCCTTTACTGTTTTTGATTTTTCGTATGCGGAAGTGCGCTACTAATTGTGCTCCATCACATGTTCTAATAAACCAAACTAATGAAGACGTATACTCTTCATTCATACATACATACCCTTGATGACAACAAATTCGAGTAGTAGAATCATTCTACTACTCTACTAGAATTCACATTCTACTAGAATTTGTGATAGAGTGGTTGGGCCAGTCGTTGCGGATTTTCGTGCACGATTTCGGATATCTTCGTTTCAGAAATTCAACCCTATACACGCACGCCTACATACTTATACCAACTGATAATAATGAGTCTGTCGATCAGAGAGTATATGTTACTTCGATTGATCGCATGGTATCATTCGATGTTCTGGATATTAACTGAACTGGACGGAAATTGGATACACTTCCAGTCCATTAACGATATATCGAGAGCATCAGTTGGATGACCACAACACAAACAACATGGCAATGTCATATAAATAAGTATTGAATTTTATTCTTATTTTCTTAATCATCAAGTCAAATGCCATCTTTGTCAGATAGCCTTGTTGGTCATTTGAGCTAAAGCTTGAAGCTAAACGTAGTCGACTTCTGTCGATTGCTATCATGGGAGATACTTTTATGGAATTTGTTTTGGCTATGACTACTTATGATCTACAGTAATTTGGGAGTAATTTAAGGATAATTTTAGGATTATTTGTGACTGATTATTGAAATATTGGATAGAAGGCTTGATCTAACACGGAAGTAGTTGTAAAAAGGCTTACTTACTCATTTCACGAAAGAATTATATTTTATACAACCTTCCTAACAGCAAAAGCGCATTTTTACGTCGTCATTTCCATGTCTAGCGGCTTGAAAACTCGTAGACCCGTCATTACACCTCCCATTCCCTGTGATGGAGAAAATGTCCTTTATTTTACGATACTGTCGTAATTTAAAAGGCATTACGCGAGCAGTTGTCCTAAATGCTTGAGGGAGAGTTCGTAGCACAATTTCGCGGGTTCGCGTTTCATTCATAATACTTAACTAGTACACGCGAACAATTTATAAAACAGAACGTAATGACACTAATGACACTAATGATGACACAAGGAACGTTGTGGTGGTTAACTGAATAAAAACTCTGTAAAAAGTCGGTCCAAATCCCGCTGAAAAAATGCAGATTTCAGCGCACTCTGCGCTGCACTAACGAAGCTGCAAACAAAAAGTCATCAAGTAAACAAACAATGAAGGCAGCTTCGACTGTATGTGGGCTCTACACGGGCTATACGCGTGTTATTACAAACTTTTGACTCTTTAACCTGACCCGAAAAAGAGTATTGCTATGACAAATACCTATCCTATCCATAGGTACAATAACGTAATTAACTTCTTCTTCTTAGGTACCATCGGTAGCAAATCCGCATTCTGATTTAAGGGATCAACTTATGTTGGGGTCTCTAAGTATTTGTATAAAAAAACAGTTTAAGTTTGTCCCTTACATGGATAGGTGGATTTGCTGGCGACAATACCAACTAACCTAACGAGCACACCAACACGAGAACTTCGCAAAATTTTTCTGACGTGCTGAAAACGTTGAATACTGAGTCGCCGCTTGAGAGCTTGGAATAATGCATCATCAAGTTTCCTCTTTCAGTCGACGTGCAAGGAATAAATAACTAGTTCAAAACTCTAGACCGCTTTAAAAGCCGCTTCTGCCGCGACTGTCCCTGTTAAGCTTTGGTTCGTTCACAGCACATTTTCATTAGCATTTTTTTAAGCCTCTGTGCTCGACGCTTTAAGGAAATTACTACGTGTTTTAGGACATTACAAAAAACATAGGTACCTATGGTATTCTTGATAAATATTGTGCAGGAAATTTCGAAGTGGGTGCTAGACGTAATTGCTACAAAGTTAACAACCTTTTAGTTGCGCCTGCACGGTTGGCAACAACTAATAAGAAGGACACTATTTGCACTTTACACAAAAGGTTTTTTACACAAATTTATATGTTCGATGATATAGAGATGTGGCTACCACGCGTTAGTGGTCAAAATGCACTTGCTTAATTTGCGGGCTTGGAGTGAGTCGCTGTAGCCCAGTTGGTAGAGCGTCGACAGTACAGATGGCGAAGGTCGCTGGTTCAAATCAAGCCTGCGGTGAAAATTTTGCAAGTTTTCCTAAATTGTATTCCTAACACAGGTGATGTTTTAAAATTTGGTATTCAATACAAAATCTAATGTCAATTTGTTCAATAGCTTTCCGTTCGTGTGTTTAGCACTTACATGAGTTCGAATCCTCAAGCCCTGCCAAGGCAGCAAGTTTAATTTATGCTATTAAAAGTTCAGATTGCTCCCGATGCTTGGGCTCAAGTATATTTTCTAAGCGAATGTTGGAAGTTAATAATTTAACTTGCATGAATTGCCACCGCTTGCGAAAACATATTAAGAAAATTATCGTATTATATACAGGGAGTAACGGAAAGGGTAACAAGCCGAAAGGAGATCAAGGTACTCATGAAACTGAACAACTTTCCAAATTTTTTTTTCATATTTCGACCCATATTCCATGGGGAAAGTTGTTCAGTTTCATGAGTACCTTGACCTCCTTTCGGCTTGTTATACCCTTTCCGTTACTCCCGGTATCTGTATTTGACGTTTGTGATATTGGGGACTTGGATTTACGTCAAATTTATATGACCTGTCAAACAAGGGGCAGTATTGCATTGTATCACATAATATCACACAAATTAATAAATCGACTGAACCATGGAGGTAACGTCTGAAAGTTATGACTCCGCAAACTTTTATATATACATTCTAAGTACTTGTTACAAAAGCAACAGGCACTGCCTTTGTTAATATAATAACAGTAAATCCCAAGGCTTCGGGTAATTATTTTCCGCCGAAACTTCAAAAGAAAGCCGCCAATGGTTTTAGGGAAAACCACAGCGTTTCTGCTGGCTTTTGAAATAATACAACAAAGTTGTACTTTGCATAATAACAGCATTAATATTTTACACACCACCTACACTACCTGTAAATTACTTAGGTAATGTTAGGCAATAAATACCTACGTCTTGTAATCTTATATTGCTTTAGAAACCAATTTTACTCATAACTTATTCTCCATTAATTTGATTTCCTTGTGAACAAAATTACGTACAATCACGTTATTGTATCATATTTCGTTTCGTAGAAATTGAATACCGGATTGTCTCTTTTCGCAAAACAAATATTTACCCGTCTCAAATACGCTTGAGAGCCCTTTGTAACGTTATATACGGGTATCTCTTTCCCATTTAAGAGTTCAAAAGAACAATTTTGCGAAAAGAAAATTACTTCGTTTGTACAATCGTACGACTTAATTTTTATAGGCACAAAATAAAATTTTACCTCCTCGTAGAGATTCTGCTACGAAGGCGCCGCCGTAGCTTGCTCGTAGCAAATGTCTAAAACCAAGTTTAACCAATGTATGTAATCTTATATGCAATGGTTTCTTTTCTGTTCTTATAGGAAACTGTAGAGTTCATGATGACTGGTTGACATTACCATTACGCTGCATAGCTTCACGGAGCGATCGTTCATAAACGGTTTATGACTCCCATTTCGCGCATAATTTTGTCATTCCATTTTCGGGCTAAATATTGTTCTTACAAGAAAATGTTGGCTTTAAGAATATATTTTTCCTTCGGGTATAGTTGGCATTATTCACTCATGTAAAAGGATATTTAAAAGTAATTTATCTGTTAATAATAAATGAAAAAAATATAAATATATTTTTACTACTGCGGGCTTACTATTCAAAATTCAAAATGAAAAGTACCAAACCACCTCTTGGTACATGCTCTTGGTGAACATTTTGTATGTCAATTGTACAGAGCAAGTATAATTTGTACTTGAGTTTTCCAAAATACTCGTATACAAAATGTATGTTCCATTTATCAAACATTCACTGCACAAGCATCTTGCACTGCGCTTGCAAATGTACTGTGTTGTGTTGTGCTGTATCGTTACTACGTTTGTACACATCCTTCAATGGGCAAAAAAAACATATCATCAGCCTTATATTAGATAGTGTTCTTTTGGACTGTACCTTGTACGATTATAACATAACAATGTACTTACCTTGAAATGATACCGGTAAAATCAAAGCTTGAAGGGTCATCGACCGCAAACAAAAAGTTTGCCTTTCAAGGCGAATTGGGTCCCAAAATTGGTAGTCGTCGAAGTCTTCATTCATTCTTACGCCATAACGTAAGTGACATAAAAATTATATTCCTATGCACTTCCGACCATGTGTTCCATTGAACCCTGCTTCACAAGAATGCATTTTAATTGTATTGCAAAGAGTTTATTTTTGAATGTAGTGACAGCGCATGCGCGATTAGGGTACCGCAGTGCGCGGCGCCTATGAGCCGTCCGATTGCGTGCGGTTTCACCATCACATGAAGTCAAAGTGAAAGAAAATCCCACCCAAAACATAAATGTGAAAGGCTGCCAAGTTCGACAATATTGGAATGCTTCGCCTATAAAAGAAGTGAGATCTAAATAAGTACCAAGTTCCATACACAGACCTCAGTTAAAAATAGTTACAGGAATGCACACTTGATTTTCCGCAGTTTGGAAAGTAGATTCTGAATAAATATCATATTAATACCTAAAATTCTAATACTTACAAAAACGCAAACCTGTTTTTTCAGCAGTTTCCTTTCCTACTTTTTAATGATATAACTTGGCAAGTTTTCACACACTTTGTTATTTATAAACCTACAAAACGCAATGAGTCAAGTATATAATTTTCTATTAAAACTTGCCAAGTTATATCATTAAAAAGTAGGAAAGGAAACTGCTGAAAAACAGGTTTGCGTTTTTGTAAGTATTAGAATTTTAGGTATTAATATGATATTTATTCAGAATCTACTTTCCAAACTGCGGAAAATCAAGTGTGCATTCCTGTAACTATTTTTAACTGAGGTCTGTGTATGGAACTTGGTACTTATTTAGATCTCACTTCTTTTATAGGCGAAGCATTCCAATATTGTCGAACTTGGCAGCCTTTCACATTTATGTTTTGGGTGGGATTTCATTTATTTTTGTAAGGTTTTCGGTCGGTTGCAATTTTAGGTCGGTACGACCATTGGAAGATATAGATAATTTTTTGTATTAGTTCCTTAGGGTATGAATTTACACCTTCATTATTTTTAAAACCGACTCACACTTGGCCATTTTCAGATTTTTCCTTTACCTTGACCTAAAGACCTACCCCTATGCCAAATTTCAAGTCAATACGACCACTGGAAGTGGTCTAGGTTTTTGATGAGTGAGTGAGTCAGTCAGTCAGTGAGTGTATAGTAAAAATAGCGATTTTCTGACGTCAATATCTCAAGACCTACAATAGGTACATTAATGAAATTTTGTATTTTCGATGAGTAAGTAGATCTCAACAGATACTAGAAATTTCATATGCGTAGATAAAATAGATTTTGAGTTATAGGTGGGTCGAACTTGGCCCGAAATGGTTCGTGTAATATAACCCACGGCCGGTGTGTCGCTCGAACTTGGCGGACACACTGCCGTGTGTCTAGATACAGAAGAAACCCTTTGAATAAACGAAGCAAACAGTAAAGAAGATGATATCATTTTCAGATACAAAGCGACTGCTCGAGTGTAAACCATAAGTAACAAAAGTAACTCAATGACATAATCGTACTACCTACCTACGTGGTAGTATAGTTATACCGTGGTTATAGTTAGTTTTTATGTTCGTCAAACCATGTATATTTATTAACCTAAAAATACTTTAAACCTTTTTTGTTGTTGCTTATAAATTCCCATAAAGACTAGTTGACTGTTCAGTTTCACTTTGAAATTCAGTAGCGTAGGGCTTTATCTAAGATATTTTTAGTTCTGAGCAAACAAAACATCGTTCTGGTGACAAAGCCCTGATTTTTTTCTAATATATGTTATGGGACCTTTTCTGATCAAATAGCCAGTACCTAGTTAGAGAAATGTTACGAATTAATAACACGACGTTATTTTCTTTAAAGGTATTTCCAACCGAAAACATTTTGGTCCAAGCAATTAAAAGTCTCGAGAGTTTCAAGTCTGTTTCAGACAGCTTTGTTTTTGTTATTTTGACCCGTTTAACCTCTTTATAATTGAAGTTTCGAATGAATTCCAGTTATAAGAGTACTTTTGCCCTAAAAACAGATTAAATTACTTGTTTAAAGAACTTTTCTTCTGAGGCTGTGAGTACGGGTAGATAGTAGACACGTTTAACTTTGCGATCCTACACGAAAACTAACGCTACAATACCGACACAATGTAAGGGAAAGTTTACACAGAATACAATGTGTTACAAACAAGTTTCTAGTAGATACAGCGTATTCCCTCGGGTAGGTACTGAATGTTTCTATTGCGTTTCTTTTAAAATAGTTATAGGTAAGGTGACTTTCAACAACAACCTTTTATACATTTTTCTTTTTGATTTTGTAAGCAAGTATTTTAGATAGAAATAATACTAGCCTATGCGCTTTCTGTTATAGTTGTCTTCTAAGTGCAGGAGATATTTATATAAAAAGGACAGATTTTTCCCACACGAGTGAACCATTTGGCGACGGGAAAAACTCTGGAATAAGGATAGTTTCAAGACTGAGCCAACAGTTTTTGGCTCGCACATAGAGTTTAACAACATCACCAGTCCTTTGCAGAGTTGCACTTGGCCAGAAAACGAGTCAACTGCCTTTAATAATGAGATTTGTGCCTGACAGCCTTGTTCTAGAGGTATTGGCAAGAAACATACGATGTAGCAACGTCTGTTATTTTTTGCGTAACGCATGCGTTACGACAATACGAATTTAGACTTTATTCTCATACTAATACGATATTAATACGCTAGCGGATGCGTCCGTCAAACCATTTGATATAAACTGTTATTTAATGAGAATAAGATAGAAAATCGTATTTAAATGCGTTTTACTATGACATTTCTGTGCAGACATGGTGGGATATTTGTGTAGATCCAAGATCTTTTATGTTAGACATAAAGAGATATTTATTCGCTATCTTATGCTAATAAAATTTAAGCTGATATTTCTATCATTAAAGGTGTGCGTGCGTACAAAATACGACGATAATTTATCAAATGAAAGTGTGAAATG